AAAGAAAATAGGCCAGAATATTAAAATTGTGACAGCAGTAAAATAATCCTGAAGATGTGATTACCGAGACAACAGCTCCAATGACAGAAACAGATGCATTCTCAATACCACAAACTTGAATAAAACTGTCACACTCCCCTAACATGCTGCCTCCTGCTAATTTTCCTTTGTACAGAATTTTTTTTAACATTGCTTATATGCATTCTTGTGTACTGCAGAGGCAGTGTGTCGCCCAGGAAAAACTATGGAGCTCTAGAACCATTTTACCTTTATATAAAATCCAGTGATCTCAGCAGTTGCTAAACCTCTCTGGATCCCAAATTCCATGTCTAAAAGTGAGAATAATATTGCCTACAAGGCCAAGTGGTCTTGTTGATTAAATCATAAACATATTTATGAGCATACCCAACTTTCCTCCCTGTGCCATTCAGTTAATATACTTTTCTTATGCTAAATATATGAGGTTCGGAGGTGTGGTACAGTAATCAGCTCACACAGGTTGAGTAGCCCTTACCCAAAATTCTTGTGATCGAATTTTGGAATAGCTGCTTATGCACAATGAGGTATCTTTGGGATGAGATCCAAATATCAACAGAAAATTCATTGGATGTTTCATATATACCTTATAACACATAACCTGAAGTTAATCTTGTGCAGTAGTTTTAACTGCACTTGCGTTTTAGCTATGACAACCACATGAAGTCATGTGAGGAATCTTCGTCTCAGGCAACATGTCAGTGCTCCACAAGTTTCATTTTGGAGCATTTCTGATTTTGAATTTTTGGATTAAAGACGCCCAACTTCAATTAGATCCTGCTTAGTGGAAACCATAAAAAAAGCACTCAGAAAGAAAGAAAAAAAAAAGCATTCGAGTCACATCCATGCACCTTCCAGGCTAATGAAGCCCCAGATACCTGCCCAGACAGTCTTCCTGGTCGCCACACCTGGAAATCCACTTTCCACCTCCTTATGTGTCCCTGACCTCTCTGGAGACCTCCCTCCTTCTCAGACATTGTTATCCTGAGCCCCACGTTGCCCTGGTAAACGTATCCATGTCTCCTGACACACTCTGACCTCATGAGGCTATGGCTTTTAACTCACCACTGCCCACACCCAGAGAGCAAATGCAGCCACAGGGATCAACAAAATGGATGTGGCTGCAGAAAGACGTGTGAGGGGAACAGGACAAGAGTCTGCTCTCAAATGTTGTAAAGCAGCTCTAAGAACACGATTACCAGGTCTTGTACTTTGTGACAATGTCTTTCCTAACATCTGGTAGATTCACATAAGCTCTGTCACTCTCCTGCGTCTCCAAATCAACATAAAACTATTCCCAGCAGCTTTTTCTCCCAAAATGCTAACCCCATCAGCATGACGAATGGGTGAAGCAAAAAACATCACACAAGCTTGACAGCCCCTGCTGTTGAACCGACTGTGGGGACCAGGTCTTTTGAAAGAAAACTAGTGGACCCGGCTCCAGGGAACTGGGTCCTGTGTTTACATACATGTATGCTGTCTGCAGAGAGGAAGGATCTGAGAATACCATTTCCATCTAAGCCAGAGCTCCATGATTCTCCAGACACAAGCACAGCTCTGAAAGGTACTAAGCTTAGGCAGTGTTCTCCAAAATGTGTTCTTGGAAGCACTAGCCTACAGTTCTGTGGTTGAAAAAGCATGAATATCTTGTTAAAGCTAGGTTTCAATCAATTATATCACCAACCTGCAAATATTGTTGACCGAGTCCTCCGGACAATGGTGATGGCATTTACAACGCAGGATCTTCGGACGAGGGGTGGGGGCTGTACTTTCGCCATCCTCTTTCTTGGTGCCCACATTTAATTTTCCTGAACTTCGCAAAAGCATGTTATCAAGGAAGTTTGCTGAAAAGAAGAGAATGAGAATTAAGAATCTAGGAGAGCCTACTGCAGTCTTCTTCCATGAAGAAGATGATATTAAATGAAAAATGAGATATTCATGAAATGGATATTTTGATGTTTTAGATGAAAATTATAGTTTCCATATAGTAGATGTCTTACATAGGGAAAAGACATTTCTGTAATCCTCTCAGGGTAGTATTTTATATATTAAACTAATAGCTGAAATTAATTCAATGCAATATGCTCAATGAGATGCTCTCATGCCAATTATTTCTACTCTAAATACTAATACTATTGGTATATAGTATCATTCTCTTGTTGTCAGATAAGAAATTTGAGACTCAAAATTTTTTTTGACAGGCAGAGTTAGACAGAGAGACAGAGACAGAGAGAAAGGTCTTCCTTCCGTTGGTTCACTCCCCTAATGGCCGCTACAGCCAGCACTGCTCTGATCCAAAGCCAGGAGCCAGGTGCTTCTCCTGGTCTCCCATGTGGGTGCAAGGCCCAAGCACCTGGGCCATCCTCCACTGCACTCCCGGGTCACAGCAGAGAGCTGGACTGGAAGAGGAGCAGCTGGGACAGAATCCGGCGCCCCAACCGGGACTAGAACCCAGGGGTGCCTGCGCTGCAGGGGAAAGATTAGCCTAATGAGGTGTGGTGCCAGCTGAGACTCAAATTTAAGTGTGCTATACACAATCAACAAATCAGGGATCCAGCATTTAAATCCTGTCTGAGTCCTAAAACTGTCTTTCTACCACACTTTCACCTGTTTGTATGCTTCCAGGCTTAACTTGTTGGTAAACTCACATACCTCATTCCACAGTCAGTTTTTTTTTTTTAAGTTTTTTTTTTTTTATTTAGTAAATATAAATTTCCAAAGTACAGTTTATGGATTACAATGGCTCCCCCCCCATAATTTCCCTCCCACTCGCACCCCTCCCATCTCTCGCTCCCTCTCCCATTTCATTCACATCAAGATTCATTTTCAATTATCTTTATATACAATACAGAAGATCAATTCAGTATATATTAAGTAAAGATTTCATCAGTTTGCACCCACACAGAAACACAAAGTATAAAATACTGTTTCAGTACTAATTATAGCATTACTTCACATTGGACAACACATTAAGGACAGATCCCACATGAAAAGTAAGTACACAGTGACTCCTGTTGTCGACTTAACAATTTGACACTCTTGTTTATGGCGTCAGTAATCTCTCTAGGCTCTAGTCATGAGTTGCCAAGGCTATGGAAGCCTGTTGAGTTCGCCGACTTTGATCTTATTCAGACAGGGTCATAGTCAAAGTGGAAGTTCTCTCCTCCCTTCAGAGAAAGGTGCCTCCTTCTTTGATGGCCCCGTTCTTTCCACTGGGATCTCACTTACACAGTCAGTTTTTAACAGTCTATTTTGAGCAGAATAAACATTCCAAACTCAAAATCCAAAATATGAAATTTTCTGAATATTAACATGACACTACAAGCCAGATCGGAATGCCTTTAGGGCTGATTCTGAGGCCAGAGTGCTGTTTAGGACATCCACCATTCTATGAGTCTGCTGAGTATCTCGCTTCCCATGTTGGATCACTCTCCCCTTTATTTATTCTATCAGAAATGAGTTTTCTTTATAGATATAAGTTCCATCTCAAATATCTCATTAGGCATATGTATATATTTCAAAGTTCAAAAAAAAATGAACTCTGAAACACTTCTGGTCCCCAGTATTTTGGAAACTCAATCTGCAGTGTTTTATAGGATACTCTAGGGTCATTACTTTAGTTATTAACAAAAACATTTGAGTCGGATAATGTCAAGTTACCCTTATGATACATGCTTGCCTTCAAACACTAGAAAAATCAGTTAAGAACTACACTTCACACAAGGAATACGAAGAGCAAATATTGTTATTAGCCTCTCTAAAGATACTTAGTATTTTCATATGCAGTTAGATTGTATGCATTTACCAGAGGCATACTCAGAAAAACAAAAATATAGGAGGACCACCAGCTAATAATAGAAACACTATTTTTATATACTAAACTGTATCCCGAAAGAGCAAGTAAGGTTGCTTCATACAATGTAGACTAAGTAAATGCTACGGGAAGAAAAAAATGACTGTTTCTAATTAAGCAGTACTAAATAAATGATTCAATGAAAATCTGAGAGGTGGAGTTCTTACTTGCTTTTGCCAAAATAATTAAATCAAGGAAGTAATTCATGTAAAAGCATTCAATTGTTATCATTAATCTATATGTAACTAATTCCTTATGAGTGAAAATCATTATCATATAATTCACAATACTTCCAATCACCAGAGGAAATTAAGAGAACTGATCATTTGGCAGTTAATAGATCGAAGGTATGAGAGAAGAGAGGTAGAAACAAGGAATTAACCTGGTTAGACTCACATTAAAAGCTAAGAACAACGTAAATAGAAAAGATTATAAGATATTATTTAATCCTTAGTTCACGGTTGATTAAAAGTTCCAAATAAAATCTGTACTGTTGTATCTAATGCTACGAGTATGAAAAGGGGTTTTTAAGAGGATCACTTTCATATCGAGTCAAACTGAACTTGCACAAAATCATCCTCAGAGAGATAAGCGAGGCATTTTAGATCATATAAAAGATAGACCATAGAACTTAAAACATAACAAATCAATTACATGCACAGATAAAGAATAATCAGTTTATATAAAACATGAAGTTAGTCTGATACTAAAGATGCTGAAATCAGAAATGAAAAGAAAGTCAATGACTTATTTATAATAAATGTGAATGTTCAGATGAACAGTGGATTAGCAAAAATGAAAAGATATATCAAATATTAGATGGTTGATTAAAATAACATATCAGATCATATTTTCATATTTTATGAAATTTGTCTGAAACAGGAGGAAGGCAGATATGAAAAGAAATAATGAAGAATTTAATTTAGGAATCAACAGACCCCAATACAGTAACAGTAGAGGACTTTAACACCACATTCTCAGAAATGGACACATCATGCAGAAAGACAATCAGCAATGAAACAGCAGAGTTCAACTACACCCTAGATCAACTATATCTATGACATACACACAACATTTTATCCAACATTACAGACAACATATTTTCTCCCCAACAGTTCATGGAACATTCTCCAGCATAGATTGCCATCCTTGTGCAGGAGCTATGCTAACCTTCTCTAGATCCTTCCAATTTTAGTATAAGTGCTGCTGAAGAAGGCGTAACTGTCTTTTTTTAATGTTCCCATATCTTCAACCTCTAGACACCATCTCTCTGAATACAGCCAAATGTGAATATTTGTGATGTATCAAAAGCTGTGTATATGCATAAAATCAGGAGAATGGGAGGTTATGCTAAAGTAACTCACAAATTGAAGTGGTTAACAAGGTAGTTACTCAGTTTAAATCTAATCAGTGTACCTCTGCTTCAAATAGTAAGACCCAAAACTGAAACTACTAGAAGAAAACATAGGGGAGATGGATGAGAACATTAGAATGGGTAGGATTTTTGGACTGGATCCAAAGAGCTCAAGAACAAAAACAAAACCAGACAAATAGGTTTCATCAAACTAAAGAGCTTTTGCTTAGTAAAGGGAACCACTAACAAAGTGAAGAAACAACACAGAAAATGGAAGAAAATATTTGCAAGTTATACATGTGACAATGGGTTACTAACCAGAATTCATAACATATTCAAACAAGTCAACAGCAAAGACAAAATAATCCAATTTAAAAATAGGCAGTCAGATCTAGACATTTCTTGACAGAAGATATACAAACTGCAAAATGGTATGTGAAGCAGTACTCACCATCACTAATCATCAGATAAATGCAAATGAAGACCACAATGAAATATCAACCCACTCCAGTTAGAATGGCTATTACCAAAAAGATTTTTAAAATATAACTGCTGACAATGATATAGAGAAACAAGAACCCTAGCACATTGCTGGTTGGAATGTAAATTAGTTCATCAATTCTGGAAAACAGAATGGCAGTTCCTCAAAAATCTAAACACAGAACTACCATATGATCCAGTTGTACCACCAACAGGACCTATATCCAAGGGATATGAAATCACTCTTTCGAGGAGATATGCACACTCCTATGTTTAGGATAGCACTGTTCACAATAAGCAAGAAATGGAAACAACCTAGGTATTCACTTGTTCATAAATGGATAAAGAAAACGAGACACATATACCTAATGGACCACTATCCAACCATTAAAAAGGAAGAAATCATGTCATTTGCAGCAACATGGAAGAAAGTAGAGGTCATTATGTTGAGGCAAAACAAGCCAAGCACAGAAAGTACCACATGGTCTCACTCATATATGGGATCTTTAAAAAGTGAATCTCATAAAAGTTGAGACTATCATGTGGTTACCAGAGGCGGAGGAGGAAGAGAATAATGGAATGGTGGCTAGGGAAAGGTTAATTAACTGCTACTAAGTGATTGATAGGAATAAGAAATTCTGGTAATCTGTAGCATAGGATGGTAATGATGATAAAGCACTGTGTATTTGTGTTAAAAAGAAAAAAAGCTAGCAAGGCTTTTTAATGCTTTCACCATGGAGAAATATTTGAAGAAATAGTTATGGTTACCCTGATTGGAAATGACTCGGTGTATACATGTACAGAAATATCACATGGTACCCCATAAACATGTATAATTTTTAAATGCCAGTTAGAAATGCAAAGAAGATTGATTTAGTTGACTCATATAAGTAACGTAAGAACCTTATTAGCTAAATTCTCATTTTACTTGATTTCGTTTTATAGTTCTACATAAAAGAAAATAATCATTTTTAAACAAATACCAAAACTTTCATTTAAGCAAAAACACATTCAAGCACAGGACACTCAAAAACATTCTCAGATATTTTTCTTACTATAGTTGTTTTCAAAATGAATACAGAAATGATCCTGTTAGCCTGCTGAATGTTTTATCAGCTTTTTGATTAATCATTTATGACTGAAATATATCCAACCCTTAAGGAAACATTATGTGTGATTTAGTATATTGTTTTTATTAATTAATACAGTAAAATCTTCCTTTTTTTCACCAAAGAAAGCCAAATATGGTAATTTCTATTTAGTTGTTGAGCAAACTTCAACAAAATTTATTATTTCTTTGCAACAGACTTACAGATAATTGTGTTTAAAATATATTTAGCAACAGAATCACAAGTAAACTGTACAGAAAATAGGAGGGCAATCAGAAAAATCAGACTGTCTATAAATTTCTTAGGAATAAATACTATACTGAAGAAGTCACACTTTTAGAAGTCCATCCCACTATTCTGTTCTCCTCTCCTCTCCCTCCCACAGTCCTTCCCTTACCCTTTTCCCAACTTTCTTTCCTTTCTTGACCTATTCTAGAGCTTGATAGAGTGAATTTAGATAAATCTGATGCAATTAACTTAGCTGGCTACATTACACATTATAGTTAACACAAGTAGTTAACTACCAAAATTACCATGATTACAAAGAGTAAGGCTTCTGAAAGGCAATCTAAAATTGGTTCTCAATTTTTAGAGGACCACTAAATTCTGTGGGTACAAATGAACCCTAGGATTACTTTCACTGAGATATATTTGTCTATGTTAATGAATTACAACTAAATTATACAGGCTATCTGTTCCAAAATAAAGATCCAAAATCTAAAATACTTCTGGTTCCAGGCATTTTAGACAAAGTTTATCAACCTGTATTCCTTAGGATTCTCATATGTAAAATAGAGATTGATAAATTTTCAGGCAAATTAATCAAATTTCATTAAATACCATTATGATGAATAAGCAATAGTAATTCAATCCCAATTCAACTGTAAAAGTTAAACAGAATGTTAAATACATTTTATTGACTACATGTTACATATATATATATATATACATGTTTTCAGTTATATACAAGTTTTCTATGGACTCTCCTTTTACAGGAAATAGGCAGAATCACAAAGTTTCTTTAAAGTACTTGGAAACAGTGGACAGTGATAGCTGGAAGCCTCATCTAACCACTATATAATAACATATTCGTTGATGTATATGGTTAATAAAGCAGCTCTTTGGTTTCAAAGTTTTTCCACATCATTTTGTATTATTGTGTACTCTTCCATGATTCTTACAGAAAACAAAGAACAAAAAGAAAACCCAGAAAAAGCATTCACAATATCATAAACTAAGGCTACAACTGTGCAACAACTATATTTTATCTTTAATATATACCTATTACTTCCTAAAATATTCTATCCATGCTTCAATTATTTTTTTCCAGTAGAATGCTTACCACTTCAAAAACACCAAAAGTGAAACATCATGAATTTGTGATATTAAATATTTTAGTTGCCACAGCAAAGAAAATATCAGAACCTACCATCACATTAAAATGATCTCCACCGACAATAGAGATAAAGGAAGTCAAATTAGTCTCAACATACAATGAGCTTTCAAATGGCAGTCTTTAAAATTCATTTAAAAACAACATGATGATTTTGTTACAAAATCTACTAATCGTCTATCTTCCTTTTTTCTTTCCTTTTCTAAATTCTGCCCTTCTTCACTGTTCTATCCCAACCATACACACTAGAGGGCAGACAAGAGCAAGAACAGAGACTGAAATTCATGTCACACAGAGCTGTTTTAAGTATCCTGGGTAAGAAGGTAGGTTGGTTCAAAAATTCAAGTACTGAATTGGCTAGCAACAACTTCAGGAGAATCCACCCCCTCTCTGCCACCATGTGAACGAGAGTCTATTTTATTTCTCAACGAAAACTGGTCTAAATCGTCATATTCGTTTGTTTAAAAAGAGTCTACTTTACACAGGACCAAAACTTGAATCAGAGCTTAAGAATAATATTAAGTTCTAAAATAAACTTTAATAACATTGAGTAGTGAGTTTAAATAAATAACTAATTCTTATTTTTACCACTTAAGCCTTGAGTCATTTAACTCGGTTTTGAATTATATAATTTACTAAGTTTTTTTTTTTTTTCAATTCAACCGCTGAACTTCATTTGCACTGCCTGACTCTCATTATATGATGGCATTTTCAAATACATCATCTTCTATATAGTATTCACCAAAATCTTGGGAGAGGAGTGCGACATGGGGGAGAGGGGAGGAGAAAGAGAGGAAACATGAAAACAAAGCATTTAATAAAAAATTCAGGGGTGGGCAGTGTGGTGCAGTGGGTTTGGCCATTCCTTGGGAAGCCTGCATTGCTTGGGGATTCCTGGCCATTCCACTTCCAATCCAGCTTTCAGTTAACTCATTCTGGGAGGCAACAGATGATGGCCCAAGTATTTACATCTCTGCTACCTGTGTGGGACATCCAAATTGAGTTCCAGGCTCCTAGCCTTTGGTCTGACCGAATCCCCACCGTTACGGGCATTTGGAAATTCAATCAGCAAATGGAGGATCTTTCTTTCTTCCTTCTTTCCTTTCTCTCTCGCTCGCTCTCTCTCTCTCTCTCTGCATTTCAAATTCAATAAAAATAAATAAAGATTTTTTAAAAAGTTAGGATATGTACCTGAACTCTTCTAGAAAGTAACAAAATATAATCAAAGATACCAGAGTAAAATCACATATAGGGAAAAAGTAGATTTTTCTGTTATTAACAATGATGTTACCTCCTCAGGACTCTTTTTTCTTGAAGAGTCAAGTCAGAGGAGAGATGGACGGGGGGAGAAGTTGGTTGCTGTGAAGCAACAGCAGGGATAAGCAATGATCAGGAGAGCCAGGATGCCAACCAAAAGACAAATGAGTTCCAAGCTCAGCTCAGCCACTTCTTTGCTAAGTGGCCTCAGTGAGTGCTTGGAACTCCCTTCTAGAAAGCAAGGAGAAGCAGCAGAGATCATTGGCTGGAGTGAGCAGCAGACGAGAACATCCCAGTCAAGCACCTAGCAGAGTTCTCTGCACACAGCAAGCTTCAGACCTTGGTTGTTTTCTGTGCTGCTGAAGCTTAGGATTCCACCTTGTTTCTATTCGTGGTGCTTTTTTCTCTTTTTCAATCTCGATTTTTCTTTTAACCTTCCTTTCTGCTGTCCCATCTTACTGCTCTTCCTCCCCTTGTCCCCTCTTTCCCTTTCTGATTCTTCTCCTCTCTTTCAATTTTTCCTTCTTTCGCTTCATTTTACTTTCTTTGGCTTTCCCTTCCTTTTGCCATTCATTCGTGTGAGCAAAGAGGTCTATAAAAATATAGAGCTTTTTGGTCTAACTA